GCACTCAGCTTCCTGGTTTCCTTCCTTAGGGAGGCGATTTCTTCGTTTCACCAGTGTGGCTTATTTTGTCCTTTGGAAATATTATAGGACAGGAGACGGTAAAAGCCGCGTTACAGGCTTTGGTAATTGGATCTAGTTCACCGAGACAAGTATGCTTTATGTCTACGGATTATGCTTTATCAGATGTTACTAGAAAACGGGGCTTACTGTGAGAAGGGCTTCTAAAAATGAGGTCCGAAAGTATCTTCCAGAATTCATTCCAGTCGGTTCGTCTCCTATTGCTATAAGCGACAAGAACTATGTACATAGTATCCTTACATCCAAAGGAGGATCTAATAAAAAAGCAAAGTGAATTTACAACCTCTCCTTCCAAACTATAACCTTTACCCACTGCCCGTCAATACTTGATGGTCTCTATTACCATCAACGAGGCTCCGTCCAGCGGGTGCGAGGCGGTATATCCTTGCTCAGGGTTTATTTTCCCTATATGGATAAGAAAAGAACCGCAAAAACGAACGCATAAAACGGCATAGACTTAAACTTGAAATGGGCGCAGATTTAGCCTCCAGACTTATTGACCATAACTGTTTTGCGTTTGACCCATATTGCGAGTTAGAACTTTCTTATCTAGCAGCAGGTATAAAATGCGCGGTGCGACTCCGAAAGCAATGGATTCCAGGATTCCCGTATCCACCCACTGCTATACTACTTACAAGAGCAAGGTCGCATTTGAGTGTGCTCCCCCTCGCTCGGTCAGCTCAGTCTGGGTTCGCTTAATCTTAACTTGCCTTCGTTGTTGACAGTCAAGGCGAAAATTACTCATATGAAATGCGTTTAGGAATACCTAAGTTCTTTACAGCTCTTCGATAACAAACAATCAATATTTCCTGGGTCCCGGGACACAGTTGTATTCCGGCAAATTATGAAGCCGAGCAGTGTGCTGGAAATGTATCTGAGATGGGATTGGGGGGAGCGATTTAGACTGTATAACTTTAACTTCTCGTGCGATGGCTGAATTCGCAAGTTGAGAAGATGATCAGAGCAGCCAGCGCTCACTCTGGCCACTGCTCGATGAACGATGAACATGGAACTTACTAAGGTTCTCAAAGCCAACGTTAGGCTACTCTCAGGAATACTAATGCGACTCTGGACCATTGAACACATATCCGCCATGTTCGGACCCCTGCATAACGACTTCTGTAGAAACTGTAGAGATGAAGAAGAGATAGAATCTACATATCCCTTTGCGAGTATCTAGCATTCTTTATGGGAGTGCCTAAAATTTCTGATGCTCCACTTCTTCGAGATCTAGGAAAGCTGAGGGCAAATTCCTTTAGATGGTCTTCTGGGATTCACAAAAACGATCAGGGATAGACACGCGGAAACCCTCGATTGGGCATTCCAATGGGTCTAGGCGGCCTGCGAGCGAATCATTATCAGAGCCTTATCAGAGCCTAACCTACTCGACAACCTTAAAATATGAGGTTAGCTTTATTTTTGTTTATGTGTTAAATGGTGCATAACAACCAATTTAAGCATTCGATTGTTAAACTCTTGTAACCACAACGCAGGAGATATGAACACCAATTGAGCTTAAATTGACCACAAACAAGTCCTTTAACTTCTTACTATTTTTCCTACTAAGTTTATTTGAAGCTTCAAATTTACACCACAAAAGGCTATGAAATTTAATGGATAATAATTTATTGTCAAATGTTTTGCACTTTCCACACAAATTGTGTTAACTAGCAGACTCATTTCATAAATTCTGTGGTTATGGCATCATATTTGCAAACACCTTTTGAGGTCTGAATAAAACACGACAAAAAAAAAAAAACTTCCTCCCTGTCCAACTAAAAAATCAATGCCTACACCACGAAAAATTGATTCAAAGAAAATTTACGTACGTTACGTGTACATCGTAATGCTTAACGATAAATCGATTAGGAGATGTGTGTGTACATACAACCTTGCAAGTAGTGTTGCAACATAATTTTTATAACACCATACACCTGTATGCAATACAATGCGCTTGTACATATGTATGTGACTATAACTAAATATACATACATACATACACGCATATGTGCAGTGCTATGCATCTCATTGAATGAAGAATCATGTATTTGTACTCATAGGAATGCATGCCATTGTCCAGTAGCTGCGCGCATGCGCTCAACTCCTTGCTTGCCACGTTGCAGCCGCGCGACTCTTAACCACATTCACATCGTTCAAATAAAGAGCCTAGAGTTTTTCTTTTGTGTCTGTACCTTTGCCGCAACTTTGGTTATGGTTAAGTCTAGATGGCTGCTTGAAGCCTTTGTTTCGCGTTCGTTGGCTTTGTGGCAGGCGATTGCGCGGACCAATACTGTGTTCATACGATAAATGTATGTATGTATGCACATATGTACTTACATATCTACGTTCATTTGTCTATTGATAGCTACATTTGTAGAAGTTGACTGGCAAGGAATTTTTCTTCTCTTGGCCATCACTAACTTCTGGTAAGGCGTGAGGGCAGTGAACCCTTCCCCACGCACAGGCATGCATGAATGTACTCGTATATACAAATGAGCTGCTGATTGTAAACGTGGCAACATTTACATACCCTGCAGCAATTCAGACTCACCCTAGGTTAGCCCTCAGATAGTCCATATTGTTACCAGCACTAGTCCCTCATAATTCCCATGCCAATGGTTTCAACTGCCATTTTTAACATTGGCGTGTCATTGGAAAAGAACCGGTCCAATCAACAGTGACCGCAAGATAGTCCTGGACTAGTCCAATTTTGGAGATTTTTTCGTTGGAGTAAGATTGCGTTCTGCACTTCATAGATGCTTTTTCATATTTCGGAAAAAAAAAATTATTATCATTTTATAACCATGTTGCCTCTGACGGCATTTGAACCCGGACCCTCCTGAAAGCTAACAAATCGTGGCAAGCATCTCTGCGCACTGAGCTACAGCCACACATGTAAATGTATGTTCAAATGTTCACTTTGAATCAAGGCCAGACCGAGCGAGTGGGACATTCACAGGGAGGTGTTCTTTAATTTTTTTTTTTTATTGAATTGCAAGACAACACCACCCTGTCACTGCCAACCTGTACTTTTCGTCTATCTCTAGACCTATTCCTTGGGGACTGTTCGAAAGCTTATATTTTCGATGCAAGCAAATGTCCAATTCTGACCAGTCAATTTTTAACCAGTGGAGTACTGGTCCTTTACGGAAAATTGTCCGCCATAATGCTGCAGGGTACAAATAAATATCTACATGTTTAGGTGTGCCTGCATGTATTGGTGTTATTTACGTTGAAATCTTTTGTATCTATTCCTTGGTAGAAAAGCGTAAATATGTAAACAAGATATTTACAGGTCTTCAAATTTATATGTATTCGTTTAGTATTTGTGGGAGTGTATGTGATTTCGTATTTGTATACAAATAAACGTTAAAATTTTGAAGAGTGCGCCATCGTAAATAGTCATTTTTGTTAACATATTTATATGCATGTATGTACTTAAAAATCTGTTTTTTTTTTACCGAGATAAATATTTGTTTATCTTAGTAGTGAATACATATTCCGTTTTTATACTGGAAATAAATGAATGTACTGTATATGAATGTCTGTATATGAATTAAATTCTAAAAAGTGGTAGTCACCTTTTGGCCAGCTAAGTTCTGAGGTCTTCATGCAATGCCTCAAATAAATACATGCACTGGAAGTGTTGAATTAATATGTATTGCCATTTTTACAAAAAACTGAAGGAAGGCAACTTAAATCAGAAAAAAAAAATCACAAATCTGGCATTCCCTCACTAAAGGTTACCAACAACCGAAGTGAATATAAATATTTAATTTTTTTGATAATTTTTCATGATTTTTATTTTCCTATCAAGAACAGTCGCCAATACATTGTCGAAAATATTACACCAATTCGTCTGCCCGTCTGTTTATATGCAATCTAGTCTCTCCGTTTTCGGGATATCCGAAATATGAAATTTGGTAAGCGAGTGTATGTATAATGTAAACCGGAAAAATCGGTCTACTATAACATATAGCTCCCATACAACTATTGTCCAGATATGAGATTTTTTGTTATAACTTCTCCATTTATGCAGCTATAAACATGAAATTTCGCACTGTTTTCACTCCTATACCAATGATTGGTCAGGTACAATTTTTTGCCATATAACTTTTGTAACCGGTTTACATACTGAGCACACATAGCAGTGAAAATCACTTAGATTGTTGCTTTATAAGGTAGGTATATCTCCCATACCTCTGGTTGTTTAGATATGATTTTTTTTTTACATATGTAACTCCTCTATCTACATACATACATATGTATGCTGTGAATATACAAAATTTTTCAAACGAAGTAATCAGTTAAAGTAGAATTGTCTGAGGTTCAAGAAAGGTATGAAGCCATCGGCATAGCCGAAGACAGCGCTGCTCTTACTTGTTTAAATACAAATTTAATTTAAAGTTTTTTTTTGTTTTTTTAGTGGCATTTTAACTATTTAAATTGAACACTGTTTTCAGCCTTAAGGCTTAAGTACTTGCTATATAAGAGATCAACATATCTCATCATCGTTCGGTGAATAAGTCTGATGAGGAAATATGGTGATCTCCGAAATTCTATCTATCTATCTAAGCGAATATTGCTTATGACCACAGGTATTAAAAAAAGTTATAATTGGAATAGGGAAAAGTTAAAGATCCTGATACTCAAAAATAATTGAAAGACTGATTACTTTCCGTTCCTGAATAAATCGTTATTTTTAATATTAAATTTATGGCCCTTACTATGAAAATTAAGTATTTAGGTATAAAGCGTTTTGAAGTATGTATTTCTTTTATGAATACGAACGTTACTGTATACAAAACTTCCAAATCTTTAGATAGTCCACCAATATGTATTTTATGCCTTACCTTCTGCTGCAATAGAATTTAGAAAAGCTGCGTAAGTCGATTTTTATGAACACACACTTTTTTTTATTTTTAAAAATTTTGTAATTTTCGCTTCGAACGATCCAAATGTCTTAAGAAATCTTCTCTGAGCTTCGTTTCTTCAAAAAATTCGAAATATTACGGTAAGGCATTTCGAAGAACAAAGTCATTGGCAGAGACATAATATGCAGCACAATAATTAGTCCAATATATAGAAAGGTCTGTAAAATAATAAAAATACAAAGGTAATAGTGAATTCTCAAATCAAATGACAAAAAACTCAAGTATTTTGTATGGTTGTCGATTATTTCTGACAGTGTACGAAAATAAACTATATTGTACGTTACTATTTCGTTCCGGGTATTATTTTAACAGTTCGGTACAATACGAAAACAAAACGGCTGAGTTCACTTTGGCGATAGTACACTACAGTAGTTAGTAGTTACATACGAAACAACAAACGAAATGAATCGTGCAGAAAAAAATATATGTATGTATGTACATATATGCAATAACTAAATACAAAACGAATGGCTGCAATGAAATAAAAAAATAAAAATGTTTTTTAATCGAATTGGATATGAAAATTTACAGAAAAAAATATTTTTCACGTAATTGAAACGTTTGCATACATATAAAACGTACCATATGGTACAATTGTCACAAACGAAATGCAAACGTTTCTCGTTGGGGAAAATGAGAGTGAATCTTACAATTTGTTTCTGACTATGTACAAAACTGTACAAAACCACAAATGATATGATGATCGATGAGCAAATGGGAATTGTTTTGTACAGTTTATTTTCGTACCCTGATTTCTGATAACTATAAGGAAAATTGCGAAAAATCGAAGACTTGATTTGCGGGAATTAAAGGCTGTGGAGCGATCACCATCTTGAGTGCAAGGGTTGTCAACCGCTTTTTTCAAATCAGAAGGGCAGCAATCTTAGAGTCTTGGGTAGTCGACTTCTAAGAGGATTTTTCTACACTTCCTTGCAATTATTTTTTAGTTATTAATTTTTTTATAGCAGATCTATATATATATATTTATAAAAAATACAATTTTAAGTTATGCCATTTGATGTATAAAGTCGGTATGGCGGTTAATAAAATTTTTTCCCGAAATTAAGAGGAAAATTAAATATATTTGTATTTTTTACAAATTATAGAATATTCGCCAAAAAGAGGAACTTTAAAACTAAAAAAGAGAGCGTGATGAGATGGAACAAAATCCTCTTAAGCTTCAATTACCACTAAGGTCTCGGCAAAGATGGATTCAATCGTAAAATGGCATTGCTCGTGAGCTATTTTTTAAATTTTTTTTTAACCCTGACAGCCTTCTTTTCAAGATGGCGTCGAGTTCACAAGCCCTTGAGTACCACAAATCAAGTTTTACGTTATTCTCGGATATTCTCGCAGTATTCAAATAGAATTGAAGACTATGCCAGGTATCACCATTTTACCAATTTTAACCCTTATTTGGCCATACTATTTTGCAAAAACTAAACTATTTAATTCCACTTACCATTCGGAAAGGTCCCGCATACACCACTTTACTATCACCGCTAAAGACACCGAGTATAAGTAAACAATTCAACAGCGATAGAGCATAGGAAATATGAATAACTTTTTGGAAAATCTTTGCACTCAATATGCGGCGATACCAATCGAGGTGTTTGTTCGCCATGGCAATAATAGACCAACAACCGCTCAATACATAGCAACAACGTTGTAACACCAGTATAAATGTTGCCACACGCACAGTATGCTCACGTCCGAAGGGGGCTGCCTGCGTACAAATTGTGAATACCAAGTAGATCAAGTGACTGGTGAAGTTATTGAATATTTTGCGAGAACTGAACTTAGAATTGTACTCAAGATATAGCCAACTTGTAATAGCGCCGGCCAAGTATGGAAATATGCGCGCCAGCGGATGCATGTAGAGCTCAGTGAAGTGTGCGAACGTAGCCTCTAAGGATATTTGGTAATTTAAGTTAATGCCAATGATAGCTTGATACGTTAGGGAGCCAATAATAAGTAGCAAAGTCAAGATTTTAGCAAGTTGGGGTTGCCTGAAAAGAAAGTGTGATGTGATGTTTTGTTTTATAAAATTTTTATTTCGAAGATTTACATACTTAGTATACGTAACCAAAAGCACTGTCAGCACAATCGAATACTGCATTTCGCAAGACAAATGCCAAGTCCATATCAGGCATATGTCCCGATAATCAAATAAATTGTGTATGAAGAGCAAATTCCGCCACCAGTAATGCTCACATTTACCCGCCAAAACACCGGCTGAGTTAAAGACTGATGTATTGTCCAAGTAATGGAACGTTAAATATGAGGCGCAGATCATGAAATAGTAGAGCGGGGCCAATCTATTTAAAAAAAAAAAGAAAAAAAAATGGGTTTTAACCACGAACCATATTCATTATAAGTAAAATAATTTAAATCAATATTCAATCATTATTCTATGATTTTTTTTTCGCTCAGAAATAATAATTTTTGTTTAGTATTATTTTTCCGCTCAAAGGATATAATTATTTTATGATTTTTATTTTTTTCTCCCTTTTAAGGATATTTTGGAAATCGCGCTAGTTTAGCGTACGAGTTTTCTGAATAATCATTATTGTTAAGTGAAAAAATAAAGCTCAATAATAATTATTGGCTTTGATCGAAAAAAATAAAAATGAGGTAATAATTTCTTTTGAGCGAAAAAATAAAACCCAAATATTTATTATTATTTTTAATTTTCATTGCAGATTACAGTAGGACTACGCATACAGATATGTGAGTATTGTTAAAACTGTTTTCTGATGTTTTGACTTTTTTTTGATTAAACATAATAAAATTTTATTATTTTCGGTTCCTGGTTTTATAAATTGTTGTTTAAAGTTTAAGTTACGATTACGGAAAAATTTCAACAAAAACATTTCGGAAAATGGCATAGGTTTAAATCAGAATTTATAACTTTTAAGGCATCCGTTACGAGGTTTTTTTGGGTTAGGTTAGCCATGTGTCACACATAGGCCATTTGGTCTTTCGCAGTACCAGATGAATATCGGACCTTACATAGACTTATAGTAGACATTGTTTATGTCCACATTAAACTATCTTTAAGTTTTTTCCGGCTATTTAAGACGGGTTCTTGCTAGCGTCCGATATATGTAAGCATATGAGGTGCTCCAGCGGTGCTTTGGCTTCGGGTTTAAGGAAATTGGTGCGTACTCCCCTATCGACGATTGCTATATCGCATTTATTTATGTGCCCTGGGAATGCAGTGACCTGTTTTCATTCTTTAATTTTTCCACAATAATGCTAACACAAATCAGGTATACCTATCTTCGTTTGGTTTTCATTCCACTACCCAACCACTTGTATTTTCCTGATCTTATCGATTTCAATTTGTAGTTTCGCTTTAGATGTTTTTCTATCGCAATTATTTCGTTCCCTTCGATGCCCATATGGTCTGGGGCCCAATAGATAGCGTTATTGCTTTTATTGATGTCTTATATACTATCCACGTACATATATTTTTTTAATGGAACCGCTTCCCATTTCACTAAAGTACGGCTGCCATACGTCCCCGTTTCCAGGGACATGTCCCTATTTCGGACCCTTTGTCCCCGTGTCCCCGCCTACAACCAAAATCCCCCCTCCGTTTAATGCTTCGGACAACAATATATAATTCGCTTTTTTAAATTTTAAGTGGTTAGCGAAACATTTCTTAGTCTATCGGATTCGAAAGTGTAATGTGAACAGTGGGTGAAAATAAAACTCAAGATAACGCTGAAAAGTAGGTTCCTGACAATTATAAAGACAATATACTTTGAGCGATTTAGGAGGAGGGAAATCGATAATCGAAGTTGGTAAAAAAAGTATCCATCAATTATTTAAGAGGAAAAATTATAATGATATCCCATGAATGTTATGAGGAAAAAACTTATTTAAAATCATTTATTGAAAAATGTACATTCAAGTGGAAAGAATGTCGCCCTGAGAAAAATTTAGTTTATTTTTTAAGGATACTATTGAACTCGAATGAAAAGCAAACTTGCTAAAATTTTTGAGCTTGTTTTTTCTCTTATTTCATCACAATGGTCTAAAGAGAGAAGCACACTTTACATTGGCACTGTGGGAAGTATAGTTCAGTGCAAGTTCAACCTTAAAATGACGTGCACTGAATTTTATCATTTAAAAATGAACACGAACTTTTAAGCAAAGTTAAAACTAGTGAAAAATACAAATGGTATATGCGAAAAGAGACCCTATAACATGCAATATGAGTTAGTTACGTAAAAATGTGTTAAAATAGTTCTTGTTTTGTTTGCTTCCACTTACGTTAAGAAGCACAAATACCTTCCTGAATTGCCTTGAACTTTTTCTATGATCTCTAACGTCGAAAAAAATTATACCCCTATTTTTTTTTTAAATCAAAAAATAGTTACTGGTCTCCAGTGTTGCCAGAAGTTTTTGGATGAACTGGCTGAATTGGCAAATAAAACCGGCAAAAAACGGCTAAAATGTTTCAACTAAATTTCACATGTTTTATTTAAATAAATCACGAGTAAAAAGACTATTTATTGGAGAGAAGTTACAAATTCGAGCCGGAAAAAATTTTGCCAGCAGGAATTAGCAATTAGGAAAAAGATATGATTGTGGCACATGGTTGGATTTTTTGTCGACGATAATTTGAACAAACAAGTTCGTTAAATTTAAGAATTTACAAACTGGAGCGATTTCAAAATGAAAAATGTAAGTTAATACTTGTTTACTTAATTAATTTAGTCAATTCCAATGATTTGAAAGGTACTCGAAAAAAAAACTATTTATTACTATTACTATCTGATATTTTGAGTGATAATTCTCGCTGGATTTTCGACGAACAAACCTATTGTCTTCCCTACAAGGCCTTCTCAGACTGACCGATTCTCAATACACTCAAATAGAAACCCATACACATTAAAAACGCTGTAAAAATTTGCCTTCAATTTTAAGGCAGTAAAACAACAACCTTAAGTTAACATCAACCGAGGCCATATGTTGGCAAGTGATGCCAAATCACAGTTACACAAAATAACTGGTCAGATTTTTCAGAAATCCCTTCAATTCTGATGTAAAATATGATGCTAAAAGACTGCAGATCTCCCATTTAGATGACCGGTCATATGGCCGGAAGATGTCTCGTAGAATTCCCAGCGAGTTTTGCTCTTTTATTTTCATTTTGACTCACTTCAGTGTTGGTTCCTTTAATTCAAGTTGGCATTCGGTTTTTGGAATTTGAATAAGTTCTCAGCAAAAACGTTTGCTTAAAAAAATACATATGTGTACATAGTGCTTGAAAATATCAATTTTTCCATTACCTTAAACCTTTGGGAGTGGGCAAAAATTATGTTTTTTTAATTTAGGCAGAATTGAATATGCGCTATCTGGGAAGACAATATCTACATGTAATATTTATTCTGTTTGTTGGGACTATATCCAAACACAAACGCATCTTAAGAGTCTTAACAGTGAAACAATTTCTTATTTTCTAAGTTGACGAATAAAACTTCACACTTAAAATTAAGACATTTATAACAAACATTTTATGAAGAAAATCCCCTTCGTTTAAAATAAAAATAAGCGAAATCGGCCCAATTTCATACAACCCTGCCTGACATGAAAATTTTCTCCACGATAAGGCTAGTTAGCCATTTCTAACAGATTTTGGGTCGCTTAGTCAAAAATGGAAACATATATACATATTTGAAATTTAAGAAAACAAGGCAAATAGCAAAATTGGCTAAAAACGGCAAATTTTTTTCAGCAAAACGGCTAACAAATCGGCTGCCGGCTAAATCGAAATTTCTCCGGATGTTTGCTATCGCAACCGGCTAAATCTAGCCGGAAAACGGCTAAAAAGGCAACACTGCTGGTCTCTCAGGGGGCCTAAAGTTTTCCATATATTTTATATGGGGAAAAATAACCTTTCGTAGAAATGTAATGGAATTCTTGAAAATCAATATTTTTCGATCGGAAAACTTTGGTTCTTTTCAAGAGGCTTACAATAATAATACCCAATTGTTCATTTAACCATTTCTTAAAACTAACAGTTTTTTATCGGTGCAACCATAGCAATGCGATGCGACAGGCAAATACATCGTAGGTGATTTCGCATCACATTACAGAGTAGTCCCCCAGGTGAAGAAGGATCTGGATTCACTTAGCATTTCCAATCCAAACTCGCTTAGGCGGTTACAGTGCCAATAAAGAAGAAGAAGAAAAAGCTTTCCCTAGGCAATGAGCCGAACTACTTTCAAAGTCATAAAATTAAAACTTTCAAAGATTTAAACATTTTGCTCTTATAAAAAAATTACTTCTCAACAATCACTCAACAAACCTGAGAAATCGATGGAACACCGTCTTTATGATCTGCATAATGCTTTGTGTGAAGCTATGCTGCCGGATACGTTCAATTTCTGTTTTATTTTGTAAGAAGGTGTAGACCTGCAGAAACCCACTGTAAATAAGCAAAATTACTTATTTCAAATTTATTTTTAATAAATTATATCTTAACATTTTCCACTTCAAACTAACCTGACTAACAAAAAGACATCCATGGCCACATCCATATTGCCTATATTACTCAAGTATCGAAGGAGTGGTGTTGCATTGCTGGCTATGGCACTCAATATAATAAAAGTATGAAAATAGGTTGCGATTAGAGCGCTGATTACACGTCCACCGTTCAAGAAAGCAAAAGTATTAGTTGATGAATCGGATGCAGCGAAGATCTTAGACCAATTCAGCTGTATATCATAGCATAGAGTAAAAGACTCAAGTGATGTCGGCGTGTGTCTGATATGCTCCTTAGAATTTTGGTCATTTTGTTCAGCTTTCTTGTCCTTGGCATCTGTTATTGTTGCATACACAACTTTCATTTTACCACATTCTTTACTACGCAATAGGGATGCCCTAAAAGTCATTACAAGCGTGTAAATGCTAAAGCCAATGAGCAATTGAAATGATGCCAGCTTGTAGTAATATTTTGCATTAAACATCATTGTTTTTGCCTTCACAATACGCGGCTTGAGTTCATATAGATCACCATCCATAAATAAATCGCTTTCCAAATAGGCACTGAGTAGCTGCATTACTTCCTGAGCGTTACACTCATTTGGCACACACAAGCCGATATGCAGCACTGGCCGGAAATGTCCATACATCACATCTACTTGATGCGGTGATTCATGTTCCAAGTAAACTGTTCGATATGTTACATTGAATGGCGATACGGCAGATAATAGCGACAGATTCATTTTGTGCTCTACATAGCGGGAGATGTCCAAGTCTAGGGCTTTATGCGCCGCTTCACATAATTCGTAGTTTCCTAGCCAAAAATTATCGCCAAACATGAAAGCGGGTGGCTTGGAGCCAGAGGCATCGAGCACTGATAGAAAATTGATTTCGTTTTTTTTTTTTAATTTTCCAGTGGAACCATATAAAGAATTTAAACCAACCTTTAAGCGCCCAAGTTTCGCGTTTAAGTATGCCTCGCCGCAGCGTTTGCATTTGGTTATGACATGCCTTGTTCACAAGATTTGTATTACTTACGGTAGTTAATGGGAAGAGTATAGTGCTATATTCCAAAATATTGGCCAAATCCATATGAAATGTATTTCTATGCGTATAATTAAGGCTGGCATTCGCGCAGAATAAAAGAGTCGCGAACACAAGTAAATGCCACAATAACCTCCACATATTTAATGAAAGCTGAGAGATAAATATTAGCCGAATCGTGCTTTATCAGATACCGAATTGTTGTGCAGCTGAAGTCGCACTGCCTAGCTACGTTAAATTTTATTCAAATTGTGGCAATTAATCTTTAATACTGATGGTAGAATACGAGTATGTTTAGTAAATATGAAATAACCAAAGCAATTAAGTATTTATTTTTGTAATTGATTAGTTAAAAGCTTAGCTTTGTGCAATTAGTTAGGCAAAATATAAAAAAATTAGTTCAATGCAAAATTTTTATGTATAAGCAAAAAAAAAATTTTAAACTACATATCGTCGCCTGAAATGCAAAATGACCTAACAAACATCGTCTCTGAAAGGGGAAAAGTCGTGACTAATTTTTTAATTCTTTTTTTCATTAAACGATGTGGGGAGTTGTAATTCAATGAAATCTATCATATCAATCAAACAGTGAACTTTTATTAGTTACGTCGATTTGCATTCCAGGTAACGATATTGCACCGTGCGACAGCCAATTTTAAACACAAAAAAATTTAATGCTAGCGTACCCGGTGAACTTCGTTTGGCCCAAAATTAATTTTTTGTTGGAACATTTTTGTAATAGGGATGGGTAATGGCGGGTTTAAATTCGTTTTTGTTCGAATATCGAAAATTGCCCAACCATTCGATTCGAAATTTTGTGGTGCAAATTCGATTTAATTCGAAATATTTCGAATTTTCCTAAATTTCTTTGAAGTGAAGCTTCTTAATCGGGTTCGGAGATGTTTGCGTTAAATATTTAACACCAAGTCATAAAATCTGCATCGTTTGTTCAATTTTCAAAAAAGAGGTAGGTGTCAAGAGAAAGATGAGTAATATTACACACATCATTAATTAATAATTATTATTAATTAATATTAATTAATATTATTATTTAAAAAAAATCAGTGCAATGTAAAATAATAATATAGGTACCAAAATGAAAGAGAAAATATATAATACGTGAAGGGTAGTGTTGTTAAGTGTAAAAACTGCTTTATTGTGAATTGTTAATGGGAAAGTGGAGAGGGAAATTTTTATTTCTTTATATACATGATTTGTATTTGAACTAAGTAGTATATATATAACGCAAATACCTCGCATAGTTACTCATATAAATTGGATTGCTTAAGTTACTTAAGGAAATTTTACCCGAGTTTTTCTTTTGTCGCTCGCTTTTTTTATGTTGCTTGAACCATGGACCACCCGAGTGGCAGTAGGCACATCTAAGCAATCGACTGAGTCGGCAAGATCCAAAAAAATTATAAAAAATTACATAAAGTTTTAAGAAAGTTAAAATAAGGCCAAACGTGAATTTCTCCTGATTTTAATTTGTTTTAATTTTGATCTAAAAAAATCTTTGAATTTGTATTGCTTTGCTCTTTCTAAATAAAAGTTATCTGTACTGTTATAAGTTTTGTTGTAATTTTTGGGCATGACTTCATGCCGACATAAGAATTTTCATTGTATGAAAACTATGTAAAACAAAACCGGTTTATCCGATGTTTTCTTAATTTTAAAATTGAGAACTGGCATTTTTCTAATTACAATTTTTCGAATAACTCGAAAATCGGTTTTGTTAAAATGCGAATAATCGAACACCCTAATAACAAGAAACAGAAGGAAGGGGCACTCACGAACACAATGGAAGGACCAAGTGCAGAATGACCTCTCTCCGCTCGGGATGTACGAGGGATGTTTCAAAAGTTCTGGGATTAGTGCTGAAATTAAATTAGGCAGAACTTATAGAAATGTTATTGGTGCCAGACGTCTCGACATGCTTATGCAACTATCTAGTGCAATATTGTTTAGTCTGATTTAGGTGTTCGATTGTAATAGACGTGTTTTCATAGCACTGTTTTTGTAACCATGGAAGACGCAACAATATCTCAAAGAGCAATAATTTTCATTTTGTGGAAAGAAGACGTGAAAACGTCAAAAATTATTCAGCGTACCACTGCGACGACAGCACTTGGCAAAAACCAGACTGGAAAGTTGCATACGCGTCCGTTATTGCAACAGGATAAAGCAAAACCACACACCGAAAGAAAAACGAAGGTTGTACCCACCTTATTCCCCCGGATCTTGCGCCCAGTGATTATCATATTTTCCCAGATTTCAAAAAAAAACCTTACGGGGTGTTTGAATCGAAATTTTAACTGACGTAAAACAGAGACACCAGAAAAGTTCATTGAGGACGGCTTAAATAAACTAGTTTATAGTTGGAATAAATGTATTCAGTTAAATGGAGATTATGTTGAAAAACTACATTGTAATATTGTGCCTATATCTATCCATTTGGATAAAAAACCCCTTTGCACCAGAGCTGTTGGGTATAAAAATTACTTTTTTTACGATCGTCGAGTTGACTATTATCATACTGCAATAAAGCGGATGAGTGAGTACGAGAAACAAAAAATGTGACATAATTGGCCGTTAGTTGTCGCTGTGATACCTATTACTTGTTTAAAACGTATTTAAGGCCGTCGTTTTTCTATAAATAATTGTATAATTTTTTTTTTAATCAGTAATTATATTTGAGCCTGAATCAAGTTTATGATTTCTGTTTAAAAAAGTTCTGCCTTTCTTAATAAATGTCAATTCAAACTGTAATTTTCAAATATGTAAACTC